GTAGTTCGGCAATGAAGAGTAAGAGCAAATTTAAAGAGAAAGAGAAAGTTTAAAGTTGCTGACAAACCAGGTTCTAAAGCATCAGTACTTGTTAGATTAGGACCATTAAAGAGAAACCTCAGGTACTGACTGAGACAACAGGAAATGTGCCCTAAGGGCAGGGTTCTGTCAATCAAAGGCTCCATCTTATGAAAATGCAAATTCCCTAAAAGTATGGAATCTGAACTGAGAAGGCCCCTATGGGGTTCCCAGTTCAAAACAACCACCTAGAAAAGTGTTTCCTCAGGGTCAACAAAGTCAAATGGAACTGGGGTCCAATGGGCTTCACCCCAAGCTGGCAGCAGAATTTAGCAGAATAATCCATGTCTTACTGGCTTTGCATGGAGCCTTATACCAGTTTGATAGTAGCTAAGACCAGGTAATTCTAGGCAAGGTTGGAGTACCTGCAAAGTGGCTAATGATAAGAAAAAGTTATACTTTTTAACCAATTGTATTCTTATATAATGTCTTGTAAGTTTAAGCCATTTAAAGTCTCCTTTCATTTCACTTACTAGGTAAATGCCTTGAAATGTAACCCTGGAAAGCCTTTTATTGCTCTGTGATGCTTTTACTATCCTGAGATGTTTTATTACTCTGTAATTCCTTGAAACGTTGTGATGCTTTCTACTCACTACACCTGACTGTTGATAAAGATATGAAACTAAGACAATGGAAAGTTCACCAAATGGTTTAAGGCACCTGTTACAATTAGTCCAAGAAAGTACATATCAAATGTGTCAAACATCTAAACTTTTGCTGGTGATATCTGTTTTTGTAAACTGCAATAACTGTTTGACTGATTCCTAGCCCCAAGTAACGTGGCCTATCAAAATGTGGCAGATGCCCTGACTCGCCTGGGAAATCTACTTTGTAAGTTATGACGATCAAGTAAAGTCAAGAATCTTCCTGAGATAACATGGCTCATCATAAAAAGAAACAGGGCCCAGGTGTCAGTTGTAAAAATGTCTATTTAATGCCCATCTGTCCTAGTTCTAGGCCTGGAAAATCTAAAAGCCTTATTTGCTGATTCCAGGTTCTCTTGAATGAGAAGGGAATAAGCTTTCCAATTCTCTCTGGAGTGAATGCTTGGTCTTGTAGGTGTTCAAACAATTTTTCCATAAAACTCACCATTCCATAAAATTCATGACACCACTGCACGAAGCTTTGAAGGTACAGCCTAACTTGTAATGAAGACCCCAGATGTTGAAAATGTCAAAGCCACAGTATGGTCACCAAGAAAAGCTGCTTGTATGTAGTGGAGTGGGCCCAAGATAGAGTCAATGAGTGCTGTAGGTGACAGAGCTGAAGGGGAAGGGCTACCTCTTGGAGCCATGATGCAAGACCCACAGACACAGGCAGGATTGATGTTTTCCCTGTTTGGTTTTGAACTTGCTTTGGTCTAATCTTTATCCCCTCATTGCTGTCTGAGAGTAGGAATGTTTACTTTGTGCCATTATATACTGGAAGTAAGTAACCTGCTCTTTGAAGTTAATGGGGCTCACAGTTAAGAGATTTTCACAGTCTCAAAAGAGACTTGGAACTGTTAAAAGACTATGGGGTCTAAGAGATCCCATACCAGATGTACTTTGCATTATGAGATGAAAATGAAATTTTAGGAACCAGGGGTGCAATATTTTGACTTAAAGTGATGTTTTGATGTCAAACCCTGTTTCAAAAAGACCAAAAAAAAAAAAGGGTGGAATTGTTGACAATTTCATATCATCATCAATTTGATATCAATTTGATGAGTTTCAGGATCACCATGGAAGGACACCTCTGTGCAAGTCTGTGAAGGATTTTTCCAGACTGTGCTAATTAAAGTGAGGTGACTCACTCTAAACGTGGGTGACATCATTAATGGTTCGGGGTTCCAGACTAAAAAGGGTGAAAGGGTGAAAGGGAGCTGAGCACTAGCATTCATCGCTTCCTGCCCACAGACCCTACGACCAGCTGTCTTCTCACTCTCCTGTTGCCATGCCTTCCCTCCATGTTTGACTGTGAGCCAAAACAAACGCTTCTACTCCTACATAACTAATACAATTATGATGGGGAAACCATAGGTAGAAAAGCAAGAATAAGCAAATGTAATTATAGTTACATAAAACTAAAAAGTTCCTCTAGTCGCTTCCTGTGCCTGAGTAATGATGTGAGACCTTAGCTTCTGTTGCTCTTGTTCTAGCCACCTCCAGCCACCATGCCTCCCTGTCATGATGGACTGTTAATTGCTCTGGAACCATAAGCTCAAATAAACTCTTCCTTCTATTAAAACAAAACAAAACAAAACAAAAAAAACTAAAGCATTCATAGCAAAAGATAAAGCAGTGAAGAGACATAAAAAATGTCTAAACCACACATCTGATATGTAGCTAATATCCAGAATAGGTAAGTAACAAGAAAATAAAATAAAAAAAGGAGCTGGTTATGGTGGTGCATTCCTTTAATCCCAGCACTAGGGAGGCAGAGGCACACGGATCTCTGTGAGATAGAGGCCAGACTAGTCTACAGAGTACATTCTAGGCCAGCGGGGGCTACAGGGAGACCCTGTCTCAACCTCTGCCCCTTCCCTAAGTAGGCAAAGGATTTGTAGACACATTTCTCAGAACAAGAATTCGAAAGGCTAGTAGGTCTATGAAAAGGTGCTCAACATCACTATCATCAAGGAAATACAAATTAAAACAACAATGGTAGCTCCTCATTCTGTTAAAATGGTTTTTATTTAAAAAAAAGGATGGTGATATTAAGTAAAGGCAAGGATGTGGAGAAAATGGATCCTTTTGAACCACTGGTAGAAATGTACACTTGGAACAGCCATTTTATTAGGCATTAAAGAAAGCAGTAAAGAGATTTGATCCAGCAATCCCATTTCTAGGCACGAATCCAAAGGAAATGAAATCAGTGTGCTGAAAATATACTGCAATGCTATGTCCAATGCAGCATTATCCACAATAGTTAAGATACGGAATCAACTCGGTGTCCATCTGTCGATGGATTTTAAGGGTATGAGATACACATACCCTGGAATACTACTACTCAGCCTTACAAAAGGAAATATGGTCATTTAAGACAGCACAGATGAACCTGGAGGACAGTATGCTCAGAGACCTAAGCCAGGCAGTTAAAAAAAGAAACAGAAAAAACCCAATCAAAATCAAAAACACAAAACACACAACAACAAACAAACCCTGCAGAACTGCATAATATCACTTATGGAGCTCAGAAGAAGAGCAGAACCCTCTACTAGAAGGGTGGAGAACAGGGAGATGTTAGTTAAAGGATACAAAGTTGCAGTTAGAGAGGAAAAAATTCTAAAGATCTATTGTAGGGGATGGTGACTTCAATTACTAACAGTGGATTTTCAATGTCTTACCCATGCTGAGTGTGATGTGATGTGAACACAGTTCATTCTCAGCACAGCTAAGCATATTAATTAACTCAGACATTCCACAATGAGTGCATACATCAAAACATCAAGATACAATGAATATGCAAAATTTGTCATTTAAAAGACTTGAAAAGGAAAGGATTCTACTACATCTAAGGAAACAGTCTCAATAAGGATTAACTATCATTACCTCTGACTTCACACTATTTTTCCCACTGCTTCCTGATTTCTTCACTTTACTCTTTTGAAAGCCTGAAATAGTTTCTATTTTCATAAGCTGCCTTAAATATTTTCTGAAAATGATAGGTTTATTTTTCCTTTTATTAAGGTAAAATTGAGCTTAAAAAGAATTTTTTATTTCTTTCCTTCAAACTATCTCATCAGTTTGTGTAACCTAAGGTAGAACATGTATTTTCTGTGCTTTAGTTCCCTCATAAAATAACAGATATCTTCCTTTCTCCTATCAATATGGAACTCTGGTTATGGCTAATATGTAGCACATAAAAGAGCAATTGTTTTTTCTGTTTGTTTATTTTCTGAACAACATCTCATTATTTAGTTCAAGCTAGGCTGAAATTAGATATACAGTTCAGGCCAGCCTTGAACTTGTGAATCTCCTCCCTTAGCCTCTTGAATGTAGAGATTATAGGTGTGTGTACCCAGTCCTGGCTTGGGAAAGCACTTTTAATGGCAAAACTGTGCCACCCCAAAATGGCAAAAAAGATAAATACTGTACTCTGTCCTTAAAACAAAAAAAATAGATTAACACCTATTTTGAAGAACTCATATAACTTGACTAAAAAATACTAACACAGGGCTGGAGAGATGACTCAGAGATTAAGAACACTGGTTGTTCTTGCAGAAGACCTGGGTTCAAATTCCAGCATCCACAAGGCAGCTAACAACTGTCCATAACTCCAGTCCCAGGGGATCCCTCCACAGACATTGCACAACAGGGGTACAGGGGTGCACTTACCTATATGCAGGTTATTAGGGTTTCAAACAGCAGCAGCTTCCCCCCTCCCCAACAGGGTCCCATGGACTTTGGATTTTTCAAGCCTGAAAAAGGGAACTTGAGCTGATAAGCACCTTGGCCTTTTAAGTCAAAGGAAGCAGATTCTTCTAAGAGGCAGCCTGCCTTTCCTCTGATCTCCAAAGACAAGATAAGCAGATCCTGCCTGTTAACCAGAGAGTTTAGGAGCTGTTTAGTACAGCAGCTTTTCCCTTAACAGTTCCTGACCCAGATCCTGGCTGGCAGACCGAATGGAGCCAGGTTTACAAGCCCTGCTTTTCCGGCTTCCCCACCCCCCACCTGATTTTTCCCAAAAAACTTCCCGCCTTCAGCACCCTGAAGCCCCTGTATATAAGGCCCAGCTCACAATCTGTGGGCATTTTCCCTTCCCCAAAGGGAACATGTCCCCTGTGAAATAAAGCTCTATCCCGCTGAGAGTTTTATCTGGTGCCTCATCCTCCATTCGCTCGTTCTCCACCAACTTTTTACCTATCACAGGTAATACACGCATACACATAAAATAAAACTAAAAAAATTTAAAAGAATAAAATAGTAACTCGATCATACATTGTTTTCTGCAGAAGTCCTTTGCTGTCCATCAACTTTAAGACATCTTGAGATTTTTCACGATAAAATGATTCTCCAGAATATTCATCAAAATTTACTCCTAGACGCTAAAAGGATTCAGAAACATAGGTAAAATGTTAGTTAAATCTCCAATTATTTTACACTAAGACAAAATTAAAGAAATACTATCATCTGTCACCCAGATGGGGAAAATACAAACTTTGATCAAGTTACTCCTCTGCTTAACCACCGTAATGATTCACACCATACTGACCAAGTCCTCAGGTCCTCACTAAGACAAAATTAAAGAAATACTATCATCTGTCACCCAGATGGGGAAAATACAAACTTTGATCAAGTTACTCCTCTGCTTAACCACCACAATGATTCACACCACATTGACCAGGTGGCTCCTGCAGTGGACAGCACAGAGGCAAACACTTAGGGTAGAAAGTGATGCTATTCAGAGAATAGATGTATTATGCTTCAATCTAGACCTTTTAAGACTTCTATTCATTCTGCTCTTTACCTTGCTTACTTTGCTTACTTTTTTTGTTTTGTTTTGTTTCTTTCTTTTTTTGAGACAGGGTCTCCCTGTAGTCCCAGCTGGTCTGGAACTCACTATGTAGACCAGGCTGGTCTTGAACTCATAGAGATCTGCCTGCCTCTGCCTCCTGAGTGCTAGGTTCATCTTGCTTACTTACTCCCACTATATGGGCTTTGTTTCCAAAACTCCTTATGCCACTCACAGAGCACATCTGCATATCTTACCATCTAGCACCATCTAACAGATTACATGCTTCTTTTTTACTTTGTTCTGAAATTTTAGCTTATTTACTTTGCTCTTTCTCTAGCTAAACACCTACTGTAGAATGCTAGATTTCTCTTTTCTTCACTGTTGTATACTTCTCTCACAAGTATTTAGTAAGTACACATATATCTATCATATACAGGCCTGAAAAAGTAGAAGAAATGAATGCTAAAAAGTGAAGGAATCAAACACGATAGAGAGAGAAAAAGCAAAGTGAGAATAAGCACTAAACTGTCATCTGACAATACCTTGGGGTATTCTATACTTCAAGTCTCAGGCCCAAGAACAAGATTTGACTGAATTTTAAACTAAACCAGAAATCGATCTTAAACATGAGCTTAAGCAGCAAGTACTAAGTAGCAACAGCAGCAATGAGCCACACCATATTCTAGGAGAACACAGAAACTCCAAGGGTACCTTGTACATCCGAATGTACTCTTCAATGCTCAAGTCCCGAAATCTTTGCCACAGTGAAAGTGCCTGCATATCACCCAGTTCCAATCGCTGGAAGAATTCATGTGCCAATTTTGCTATATTTTTATCATCTGCTACTTCTTTATTAACTTGTACATAAACCTAAAAGTGCATCAAGTACATTATTACACATTGTTATCACCACAGAAAAGAAAGCAAAGCTCAATCCTAAAGATTCTTGGTTCAAAGTTATCTGAATTGTCTCAGTAAAGAGAGCAACTTTTTTTTTTCTTGTTGGCTATGGGCCTTTAGTCAAGCCTTCAGATCCCACTTGCATAAAGTAAAACACATAAGATTACAAAGGATGGGGCTGGAGAGATGGCTCAGCAGTTAAGAGCACTGACTGCTCTTGCAGAAGACCCAGGTTCAATTCCCAGCACCCACATGGCGGCTACAGTTAACTGTCCTTAACTCCAGTTCCAGGGGAATAGGAAACCCTCTTCTGACCTCCGCAGTATTGCATGACATGGGTGCCCTCATGTACATGCAGGCAATACACTCATACACATAAAATAAAAATAATAAATAAAACATTTTTTAAAAAGATTACAAAGGAAATAATTAAATTGAAATATACTCAGCCAAAAATTTTAAAAACTTTCAAAAAATTTACATGTATGAGGGTTTTGTCTGCATGTATAAGTGTACCATATGCATACAATGCTCCTGGAGGCCAGAAGAGGGCATCAGGTCCCCTGGAACTGCAGTTATAGACAGTTGTTAGTCACTATGTGGGTGTTAGGAACTGAATCTCTATAAGACCAGTCAGTGCTCTTAATCATTGGGCCATCTCTCTATCCCTAGCTAAATATTTTTTAAAAATTAATCTGACATAGCAATGAAAGAAAATGCTAAATGTAGCCAGGCATGGTGGTGCATGCCTTTAATCCTAGCACTCCAGAGGCAGAGGGAGGCTGGATCTCTATGAATTTCAGGTCAGCCAGAGCTACATAGCAAGACCCTGTCTTAAAAGAAGAAAAGAAAAAGAAAATGCTAAATTTCTAATAGAGGTTTGTAAAAATAAAGTCTATATTTTTCTATCCATCCAAGTTCAGAGACTCCTACATTAAAAATACCTAATTTAGGGGGCTGGAGAGATGGTTCAGAGGTTAAGGCTACTACCTGCTCTTGCATAGAACACAGATTTAATTCCCAGCACCCACATGGCAGCTAACACCTTCCTTAATTTCAGTTCCAGTGGAATCTGACACTCTCTTCTGATCTCTACAGGCATTGCCCGACATGGGTGCACTTACATACATGAAGGCAATATACTCATACACATAAAAATAAAAATTTAAATTTAAATTAAAATAAAGTTAAAAGGAAAAACCTAGTTTAGATTAAGCTGAGATTCCTGGTGTCTTTGGTTGTTGTTCAAAATGCCTACTATTCCTGAAACTTAACTGAGAAAGGCTGATCAAAGTAGCACGGGTCAACCTAATAACTGAAAGATTTAGCAGCTATTTTTAATTTTTAAATTTTTTTATTGTTTGTTCTTTTACAGTTTCATACATGTATATAATGAATCCTGCTTTCTTCCCCACCCCCCCACCTCTTTCCCAACCCTTATCAATTTCCACTCCTCCCTACCTGCCCCTTTCCCAGATTCAGGACTTTTCAATTGGTTTTGTGATCTAATATTTAGTTTAACCAGGGCTATCTGTGTGACCACTGTACTGGAGCCCTGGTGGGGTCACCAGCAGGTAACACAATTGAGGGCAATCAATGACTGATGCTTCTCCCTGAATCTAGCATCAGCAAAAGCTCAGCAAACACCCCCACCCCCAATACCTGACTCTTGCCTGGCCTATTCTTGTGCAGACCCAGAGTAGGCATCTGCAGATTAGCAGCTATTTTAATGAAAGATATTTAAGCTGTTCTCTAAATCTGTAAAAAACAAAAAACAAACAAAAAAAGCCCCCCAAAACCAGCAAAACAGGTGATTATGGAAAACAAATACTTTTAGAAGGCTTAACTACACAGCAACCTGGATTCTTAAGCATCACATGGAAAATACACTTTCGGGTATTTTCCCAAGTACTTAGCACTATCTAACTTGGCTGGTTTAGATCGCTACCTAACCGGTGACAGGTGTGGGGTTGATAGCTTATCAAGGCTCACTTCTAATGCAGTTTTTAAAAAATAATTTTCTAGTACCTACAATAAATGACAATAAAATATTAATAGTTCAATTAGGATTGAAGTTACATAGATTACAATGATTTTACTGTAAGTTGTAAATCACTTCCAAGTTGGAACACAAACAACAAATTTATTGTCATATGATTTCCAGAGGACTATTAAAGTAACATAACAGCAACATAAATGAGTAAATACACTAGGAAAAAATGAGACTTCTTTTATGTAATACCAAAATATCACGGCATCAACATCTGGGTTAAAAAAAGACTTTATTGATGGAGAACACCAAAAAAATCCACAAACAGAAAAATGAAAAATAAGGAGCCTTTAATCCCAGCACTCGGGTGGCAGAGGCAAGTAGATCTCTGTGAGTTCAAGGCCAGCCTGGTCTACATAGCAAGTTCCAGGACAGCCAGGGCTACATAGTGAGATCCTCTCAAAAAACAAACAGGACAGGTGTGGTGGTACACACTTTCAATCACAGTACTTAGGAGGCAGATGCAGGCAGATCTCTGTGAGACAGAGGTCAGCCTGGTCTATACCACAAGTTCCAGGACAGCTGGGGCTACAGGAAGATGCAGTCTCAAAAAACAACCAAAATCCCAAACAAACAACAACAAAAACACACACACAAACAAGAAAGGACAAGTCATTCAACATCCATTTATACACAAAAATGTGGTTTTATTGTTACTGCTGCCTGTTTTATTTTTTTGTAATAGGGTCTCACTGAAGCCTCGGCTGGCCTGGAACTCACTATGTAGGGCAGATGATTTATGTTAATTATTAACATAATTATTAGTTAACAATTTATGTTAATTACTGGAACTGCCAATTTGCATGAACAAATACAGCTAAATAAAAGTTTAAATTTATCTATTTTTTTTTCTTTAAATCACATTGTTTGAAAAAGAGTTAATACAGAAGGACCAAGACAGGAACTTTAAAACCTTATGCTTTGTGAGGCTATCCATTGGCTAGTATCTGGAACTTGGATTTGGGAGTATATTCACCAACTTACCTAGTCAAAGAAACTCATTATGCCTAAACTATTGGTATGAACAATACAGTTTATGCCAAATGCTCTCTTCCCTTCTGGGGAGTTTGGAATTTGGCACATGCTAGACTAGATCAGCTCCTAATAAAATCTCCAGCTGTGGAGTATCTTATAAGTTTCTCTGGTAGGCAATATTTCACTTGTTTGTCACAATTTGTTCTTAGAAGAATTTAAGTATATTCTGTGTGGGTCTACTCTTGGAAGCCTGAATGTGGTTTCCTCTGAACTTTACTCCATGTGCTGCTTTTGCTTTGTATCCATAAATCTGAGGCCACCTACTGTCAATGAACCAGGAGGTGGTCATGTGGAGAACTGAGAAATCTTAGAAAATTAATTTCCAGGTAGTCATATTAGTAACTCCAGAAATATGCATATAATACCAATTAGAAAACAGAAAAAGATTTTTGTAAGACACAGGAAAACAGTAAACTGTAGAATTCTTGAACTTTGAATATCTACCACCCAATGACAAATGCCTAGCAGTCTAGACCACAGGAATAGATACATATTCACAAATGCTATGTAATTCTCACTGATAAGACCAAAAAAACCCAGAAACAAAAACAATAAAACACAAGTAAGTAACTTTCACTCCCAGAACTCAGGAAGCAGAGGCAGGTAGATCTCTGAGTTCAAGGCCAGCCTGGTCTCCATCCTGGTCTACATAGTGAGTTCAAGGCCAGCCAGGGCCACATAGTAAAATCCTGTCTTTGTATCATTTGCCTGACATAAATCAGAGTCTCAAGTACGAAAATATGCTGTGCCTGGGGCCACCTATTGTTAGTGATGTTTCTGAAAACGCTGCTCATTACTAATCCTATAGGCTAATTCTAAGCATCCTAGGGAGCACCTTTGACATGGATCAATTACGTGTAAAATTACTATTACAGTGGATGCTCTGCGATTCAGTATTGAATAGAAATCAGCTCTGAAGGAATGGGGAAATAATTCAGTTGGGGAAGTGTTTGTGTATATGTTGCTTACTTTTCCTGTTGCTGTGATAAAATACTCTGACAAAAACAACTTAAGGAAGGGTGGGTTTATTTTGGCTCACAAGAGCTGGTCACATTGCATCCACAGTCAGGAAGAAGAGAATGAAGGCTTGCATTTACTTAGTCAGATTTCTCCTTTTTATGTAGCCCAGGAACTAATCCCTGGAAATGGTGCCATTCACTTTTACTGTGAGCCTTCCCACCTGAACCCATGATTCCTCACAGGCATGGCCAGAGGTTAAACTAATGTGGCTAATCATCCTCATTAGGTGTGCTAGGGAGTTTGTTATCCTCATAGATGATTCCAGATCTTGTCAAGTTGACAATCAACACTAACCATCATACCATGTAAGCATAAGGACCTGAGTTTAAGTCACAGCACCCATAAAAAAAAAAAAAAAAAAAAAAAAGTCAGGAGTTTTTTATAGTTCCATTTTATAATCCTAGGCCTGGGGGTAGGTCTGAGCCAGGCAGATCTCTAGGGCTTGCTGGTTAGCTAGCCTAGCCTAACTGGTGAGCTCCAGAACAGTGAGAGACCTTGTCTCAAAAAAATACAAGGTAGACAGACGGTGACTGAGGAGAAACAACACCTGAGATTGACCTCTAGTCTCCATGCACATATGCATATGCACAGGCACATATACACACATACACACCGACAAAATTTAAAAACTCCATGAGTTCTGACATGGAGCTGCCTGTGTGACCATGGCATACTGATAGGAAAATTTGCCTAAGTTAGCCAGTATCTCATGTCTTATTTGTAAACATATGACCATCTGCCATTTGAAAGTTGCAAGGATGAATAAGATAACTAATTAATGCTAACTTTTATTGCAATGGAACTCATGACTTTTATTATGAACAAACTGGAAAGTCCAAAATACTCCAAACTCCTCTCAGAATTTCAATATAATTCTTTTTTTTTTCTTTGGTCTTTTTGAGACAGGGTCTCCCTATGGCCCCAGCTGTCCTGGAACTCACTATGTAGACCAGGCTGGCCTTGAACTCACAGAGATCCACCTGCCTCTGCCTCCCAAGTGATGGGATTAAAGGTGTGCGCCACCGCACCCGGCGAATATAATTCTTTTAATGTTTCTCTTGCCATTAATTTTTAGCTTTATTCCATTATGGTTGGATAAGAAAGAAGAAATTCTTTTTTTTTAAATTTATTGAATAAAGTCTTGTTTTATGGTATAAAATATGACCTATTTTAGAGAAAGTTCTAAAGTTTTCTGAGAATGTTTTCTGTAGCTGTTGGATAGATAAAACACTGTGCAGACGCTGAGAATAGTTTGCTAGGATTTCTGTAAAAATGACATTTTTCAAAGTATAAAAAGATAACACAGAAAAAAATTCTAGGGAGGGGCAGATGTGGCTTTGGTAGGCCAAGGCTGAGATTCTAGCAGACAGCCTGCGGGGGGGGGGGGGGGGGGGCCCCCCCCCCTTGAAGTGGGAGAGTGAAGGAGACGAAGGAGACATGCAGAAAGAGACAGATCCTTTCTTCGGATTTGAGTGAAGTGCGTTACATTAAGGTTGAGAATGGCACAGACCCCTTGAGAGAACTAGCCTGGTGGTCCTTTTAATAAGATGATGCTATATAGCAGTCCCTTCTGCATGAAATAACCACTATCATCATGACTTTGGCTGAGTCTGATCGCTAAACATAGTCACAATTGGGCTTGTTGATGGTTGTGCACATTCATTAAAGGAGTGCCAAGCAGGATCACTGGACCCTCACCTGAGTATCCAGCCACTCTTCCCAGCCAACTAGTCCAGCCTTGGAAGACAAAGGAAAAATGAGGAAGAACCCAATAGAGGGATGCTTTTGGAAGCCCTCGTCAAGAAACTCCAATGGACTCTCATATGAACATCTGAAAGTTGCCCTGTTCTGACTTTTTTCTAGTTCCTTGTCTAGAACTTGTAATGCTAATTATTCTTCCCTTTACTTCTTCACATCTCCCATTCATGATTCAAGGACTTTCTTCTCCCCTTAGAGACAAGAGTTATGCAATTTGGGAGTCTTTTGGATAGACCCACTGAAGGGGTACTCCAATTGCCTCAACCTGTGTTCCTGTTCAGCATGGAAGAAACCAGAGTGGTCGGCGTCCCTATTCCCTATTGGCAGTTTGGGTAACCCCTTCAGAGGATGACATGATAAGAACAGGAGGTAAGAACTGGCTAAGCAGCTAGGGTAAAAAGACCCCAAAGAAATGTAGCCAGTTTCTTGGCTAAAAGTCAAAATGTCCTTGGGACTCTTAGCGACATACTCTGTTCTAAAGGCCAAAAATGTCAAAAGTATTTGGGAGCTTGTATCTAATCCTTAAAAGATTTTAGGGTTACCTCTTCAGAGGGGGAAATGCTGGAGGGGAGGGAGTGGGCATGGATTTGATCAAAACACCTTATATACATGTATGAAATTCTCAAAGTTTTTGTAAAAACTAAAAAAAATTCTAGGGAACATGAGGGGATGCTTTATTTATTAATAATGATAAACAGAAATTAAATTTTCAACTCTTATATCAATAGAACTCTTTTTAAAACTTTCTTATTTTTTTGATAATTTCATACATAAGTATTGCATTTGCCTCATTCCCACCCATACCCCTCTCCCCTTCAACTGCTACCACATTACTCCCCATCCCCTCTTGATTTTGTGATCTCTTCTTTAACTATTACTACTTTATACACACACACACACACACACACACACAATCTACCACCATTTAGTGGTGTTTATATGTGCATGTGTGTAGAGCTTCAATAAAATTCTTAATGGAAAGGACAGAAGAAATTTTTTTTAACATAAATCAAAATTTTGGTATTCAAACTACAGTACAGGCAGAACTCAAGAAATGTTAAATTCCTAAAGGTCTTTAAGAAATAGAATTTTCTGGGGCACTGACTGTTCTTGCAGAGGAGACGGGTTCAATTCCCAGGACCCACATAGTGGCTAACAGCTATCTGGAACTCCAGTTCCAGGGAGTCCATGTCCTCTTCTCACCTCTGTGGGCACTACATGACATGGGTGCACTTACATACACATACAGGCAATATACTCATACACATAAAATAAAAATAATAAAAAAATTATTTGAAAAATCAAAGAAACCAAGAAATAGAATTCGCTTCTGTTCAATTTTACTACAAGAGAAAAACCAAGCCCAAAGGGAAAATGAGGAAATGTCCTCTCTGGCTTTGGCTGGGGAACCAGAGCATTACTGTGAGAAGTGCTCTTCCTTACAGAGACAGGACCTCCATAGTCTGATCTGTATGTCACCAACATGGCTGACATTATATCTGTGTTTCCCTTCTGATGCCCAGAAGTAAAAGAGTTAATAGCTGAGCCACTATAAAGGAAATCAGACCTTACTCTTAGGAGATTAGTTGGACAGTAAAAGAATATTAGAACATAGATGAGAAAAGTGTCCAAAAGACAAAGTGAAGAAGAAAAAGTTCACATTGGACAAAATTCAGGAAAATGAATTGAGTGACATAAATGAAACAACTCACATACAAATTCAGAGTGAAACACAACAAAATAAAACAACACAAATAAAAAACAAACACATTCATGTTTTGTAAGTCTTAGTGAATTTTAGTTACTACCATGAAGATGAATTACACAAACAGAAAATTGAGAAATTTCTCCCAGTGTCTTATCTGTTAGCCTATGTAGTTTTACAGCTCGCTTGTTTGTTCTGGGACTGTGTAGCCCAGGATGGCCTTGAATTATGGATCTGAGTGCTAGGACTATAGGTGTACGACACCATAACCAGAACCTATGTGTTTAACATGATTCTGTATATCTGAGGAAATTCTGTCTATAATATATTAAAACAGTAATAAAAGAGACACAGTGTTCTCAGTGTACACAGTGTTCTGAAAAAAGAAAAATAAGCATTTTCAATATATATTGTATCTTACCAACTTACTTCAAAGAGATGTTGTAAGGGATTGGACTGGAGCTTTTCTTCATAGCCAAACAGCTGGAAACCAGTTCCCAGAAGACCTATTAAGACAATGAGTAAATGAAAACATTATAAAATGAAGCAGTAGGGAGCAGTCATGGTAGGAAGCAGGTACAACGCTACAAAAAGATGAAGTCCTCAATTACATATCCTGACAACTATTGCAAAATATGCATGTTTAGTTTTGTAAAGGAATAAACTTTGTGAAAGGCATATCCTATAAAATGATACATTTAAAAATGTATATTTAGCCAGGCGTGGTGGCGTACACCTTTAATCCCAGCACTTGGGAGTCAGAGGCAGGTGGATCTCTTGTGAGTCCAGCCTGATCTACATAGTGAGTTCCAGGACAGCTGGGGCTACAGGGAGACCCTGTCTCAAAAAGACCGAAAAAAAAAAAAAAAAAAAGCGTATTAGTTGGCCAGGCGTGGTAGTGCACATCTTTAATCCCAGCAGGTCAGGAGGCAGAGGCAGGCAGATCTTTGTGAGTGCAAGGCCAACCTGGTCTACATAGTGAGTTCCAGATCAGCTGGGGCTACAGGGACACCTGTCTCAAAAAGACCAAAAATTAAATAAATAAATAAATAAATAAATAAATAATTGAGTCATACGTTGTGGATATGCTAGAGCCTGAACAAATACAGCCCTACTCCTTCAAAACCAACTTGTTTTTTTCTGAGTTCTCTCAAATAGGACTTTCTATTTATTGAAACAGAACATACAACATGATATGGGAAAAGGAATGAGGAATAGTCTTATCAGAGAATGATTTTCTCTTTCTGATTCCTACACAACCACCAACAGATGTGATCAATCTAATCCCACCTGTTTGCAACACAAACTGGGGCTAATTCATTGTTTTCAGCAATATTTTCAGCACACACACGGGCTTTCAGTAATATTTTCAACACACAAACACACACAAAAATTTCTGGGCAGGGAAAGCATAATGGCCCCAAATGGAGACCCCCAAATTTTAATAGCCAAAGTAACTTCATTTTTTATAAAGCAGCCACTTTAAACTTCAAAAGCTAGAAAAACAGCTTGCCTTAAGATTAAGCACCTGAAATTAGTTGCTTCCCCTTAGAAGAGCACTTTCTTTGGAGTAGCTGACTTGGCCACCCTCCTAGAGACTGCAGCTGTGCTTCTTGCCTAGCCAAGAAGCCTAAATAACAGTAGTAATCAGAAAGTGCCTTACTGTCAAGGTCTCTATACAACTGTTAAGAGAAGGACTAACACAAGCTTGTTCTGGCTTCTGTAGTTTGCTTATCTGCTAACTTGGGCATCCTGACCATACTCAGGACCACCAGGCATTTCTCATGTGTGATGAAGTTCCTATGATATTTGCCTTTATAAACTAGTTTCACCTTCTCCTCAAGGCCTCAGGTCCCGAATGTAAGGGACCACGGATGCCTATAGCCCTAATAAATTTGATCAATTAAAATTTGAATTGGGTCTACGGGTCTTTTTTCCCAGTGGTTTCAAACTCCATAGCAAAAGGAAGAATTAGGAGGGATTAAAGTTATATGTTGAGGTTACAAGAGGAGCCCAAGGCTTAGTAATCTTGTTTATATTATAAGCTGAGATAATATTAAATAATCTCAAAACAATTTAGCTTTGGTTTCAAAGTTAGGTAAGATTCTATTTGTAACAGAAGGCATTCCCATATTACATTCCAAACTATATGTAATGAATCACTGACATTAAGTTCACAGGAACCAAAAGACTATGTCCTCAACAAAGGCAGGGGCTTTGGATAACAGTGCCTAAAATTTCCTTAGCAATGAGAAAAGAAGCACTTACTGAACAGCTACTCTGTGAGGCACTAGATATTCAAAATTTTACTGATAAGACTAAAAATATAATGATGAGAAGTGATTTTAAACTTTCTTTTTGAATAGGTAGGTCTTAAAGCAAAGGTAAGAAGGCCTTTATGTTGTATTAGTTTTTAAATAACTGAATAACAAACAAAATAAATTTTGAAGCACCCTGATTACTTCTCACTTTCAAGGGCATTATTGTGGTTCAAATGTGAAATGGCCCTCACACATACGTTCATGTATTTGAAAGTTTGGTCTCCAGCTGATGGTACTGTTTTGGAAGTTGTGGAATCTTTAGGAGGTAGAGCCTTGAAGGAAGTGGGTCAGTGAGAGGTGGAGGAATCTTGAGGTTTTATATCCTGGTTCTATTTCCTGATTGTACCAAAAATGTAACCAGTTACTTTATTCTACTGTCTCTACATCTTCCCCCCATAGGATAGACTGTATCCCTTCTCAAGTTGTGAGCTAAAATAAACCTTCCCTTTCGTAAGTTGCTTTTGTCAGGCACTTGGTCCCAACAATGAAAAAACGAACATAGTAGCCATTGTCAAATTTCTCTTATTCAGGTATGTTTAGTTTATCAGTCTCTGATAAAAAGTTTGAGTTCAGGTATAGTGTCAATTTTAACTTTCACAAAAATGTTAAATAAGGTTTGTAAACTTGTGAGGATTGCGAATATTTACATTCTTAAGAAGATTATCATAATTTTAGTTTGAGAGGATGTATATAGTCCACCCAAGTGCTTTGTTATTTAGAAAACTAACGTTTATGCCACTATGTCCATTATTAAGCTTCGTATCTAAAAGATCTTGTTGTTGCTCTTTTTTCTCTTGATTTCAAAAGGATCTATTTATTTTTAATGTGCATGAGTATTTGTCTGCACGTACATGTACAGCATGTGCAAGTTTGGTGCCTGTGAAGTCCAGAGAAAGGAATCAGATCCGTTGGAACTGGAGTCACATTTATGAGCTCCCATGTGGATGATGGGAACCCAACCCAGGCCCTCTAGAGCAGCAAGTCTTCTTAACCACTGAGCCATCTCTCTAGCCCCAGCATTCAGATTTCTTTATGAGACTCAGCAGAATAGAATACTATTGAACACAGAGCTATACAGTGGTCTGAATCTTACATAGCAGAGAGAAGGACAATGAAAGCTCTGTTCCCTTTAAATTGTTTATTTTACTTATGTTTTTATTTTTAGGTGTAGGAGTATTTTGCCTGAATGTATGTAATACACTTGTGTCATGCAATGCCCAGAGGCCAGAAGATGGCATCAGATCCCCTGGAATTAGAGTTACAGGAGGTTATTAGTTGCCTGTGTGTTGGGAACCAAAGCTGAGTTCTCAACAAGAGCAATCAGTGCTCTTAGCTGCTGAGTCATCTCTTAGACCAATTCTGCTCACTTTAAAGCAAAAAATATGTGATTAAGATTCAGTCTTGGGAGCAGGATATGGAAACATGTCCATCATGTACTAAAAAAAACAAAAACAAAACAGATGGGAAAAGTTAAGCCTGTTCTATTTAATACATGTTCAAAAATTAATTCTTTGTGTAGGAATCACCTGCCAACTTTGAAATGAGGTAGTTGGAACAGCAAAATTTTAATCCTTCTACAATGATGGCTCCAATGGAAATGTTGACAGATCATCAATTACAGTAGTCCTGAGAGAAAAACTACTATAATAAAGTCCTGCAGATAAAATGTAATGAATTCCATAATCACATATTTGCTAATGCCTGTAAAATGTCTAAGTCAAACTAATAAAAAGCAAATACTATCTATTAAGTCTGCCTGTTGTGCTCAGAACTCAAACCTTTGACTACCAAGGGTTGTGAACTGATAATGAATTTTCAAAATGGAGGATATGATGTTTCCCCTATTGTAAACAGAACTGTTAACAAGTTTAAGTTCTACCCTTTTCGACATTTTTACTAAATAAAGCATTTTTATTAAATAAGGTAATACTAAGTATACTTTCAGAGAAGCCTTATGATATCACTTAGCTTTTCTTTTGGATTGTATTGTAAAGCATTCTCTAAGGCAGATTCCTTTAACAATGAGTGTCTCTTATGTGCCACATTGTTGATACAAAAAGGATTAGGATATAGTCTGTGTCCAAGGAACTAATACCTAGTAGGAGAAGGAAGGACACTGAAAGATTGCTCTAACAAAATCCTATTTGAGGAGAGCTGGCTTCTAGAGTCTAGTGATACAAGAAGGCCATGTCTTTGTGCCAGAGAAAGCTTTACAGACATGGCCCTATGGCTGGATCTTAAAAACATTACAAGCTTGTATTCCACATGCAACCAGGCCTTCACTATTTTGACTGTCTTGTTCTCTTCACACTTAAAAGGGTGATAGGAGCCACAAGGTCTCTGAATAAATTCATGACTTTAGAGATAATGCATGCAACTGTTTGGGTCCCACTTTTTTAAAAATTATTTTTTATTTATTACTTATTATTGTTTTATCTGTATTGAGTGTTATGCCTGCATGTGGGTAGGTGTTATGTAATGCTCATAGAGGTTAGAAGATGGCATCAGATCCCTGGGAACGGGAGTTACAGAGGTTTGTTAGCTGCCATGTGGGTGCTGGGAATTGAACCCGGGTCCTCTGCAAGAGCAGTCAGTGCTCTTAACCGCTGAGCCATCTCTCCAGCCCCCTGGGTCTCACTTTTTCTCTCATTCTTTTCCTTTGACCTCAGCATACTGCTACTGCAGAGTTCAAGGAGAAGCCAAAGTTATCACACTTCATTTTCCCTTTGGCCCACTCGTTCATGGTATTACAACAGATTTCTTTTCATGTTGGATGACCCACGGAGGGCAGACCTTATCAGATTTAAAAATGACGGGGCTGTGGTCAAGAAGGGTGTATACAGGAAGACTTCTCTGTACACTCACTTCTAAATGTTACCAATTAAAGTTACACTACTATTCTTCATTAAAGTCATAAAGGATCATATTTTGTGTGTGTTATAAATATGTATTAGGTCTTACTCTGGGTATGTGAATTTGTGTGGTGAGAATTTAAAAAAAGCAAAGTCTCATTTGGCAGTGCATGCCTTTAGTAACAGAACAGCACTTAGGAGTCCAAGGCAGGTGGACCTCTGTGAGACATAGGACTGGTCTACATAGCAAGTTCCAGGCCAGCTGGGGTTAGAGAGAGGCCCTGTCTCAAAAAGACCAAAAAGTTAAATAAATTCAATAAATAAATCAAGCCATATAATGATATTAAAAACATGTCAAACATACTTACCAAACTGCATGCCCCAATCTCCAATGTAATTTATTCTTGTTACTTGATGGCCTAAAGCTTCTTTGAGATTTGCTATAAAATTTCCTAGCAATAAATAAAATATTTTTGTTATCTACCTTGGCTTTAGAACTCTGTATCTCTATTCTCAAGTTATAACAGAAAACCCTTTTAATAAAATTTACCAACTCAATCTTTTCTACTACAACACTCACTATTGCATTTATTTGCATGTGGAAACTGAGTAAAGAATCACTTCTTCATTTTTCATTCCAAAGGCTCCTATAATTTTTATAAGAGAATTTTAATCAGCTTTTCTAATGGGAGTTGGAAATACATGCTTGAATAATTACTATTCTTAGATAATTCCAAGGACAGAAAATAACAGAATCTTAGTGATTAGGAAATATATACTTTTGGTGGCTCGAGAGATGGCTCAGTGTTTTAACATTATTGGTTGCTTTTCCAGAGAACCTGAATTCAGTTCTAAGCACCCACATCAGGAAGTTTACAACCACCTGTAAATCCAGCACCAAAAGATCATTAGATCTGGCCCTCTTCTGGCCTCTGTGGGCACTGGCACTCATTTGCATATACCTTCACATAGACATGCAAATATATACATAATTAAAAATAAAGTTTTAAAGAATTATGCAATTTAGCTGTGCCCTAAATATCTCAGCCATATACTTTTCTTTTTATAAAAACTTTATTAAGAATTTCATACATGCATATAAAGTGTTTTGATCAAATATATGACCACTCCCTCCCCTCCAACATTACCCCCACTGAAGAGGTAACATAAAATCTTTTAAGGATTAGGTACAAGCTCCCAAATACTTTCAACATTTTTGGCCTTGGAACAGGGTATGTTGCTAACAGGTCCAAGGACATTTTGACTTTTAGCTAAGAAACTGGCTACATTTCTTTGGGGTCTTTTTACCTTAACTGCCTAGCCAATTCCTACCTCCTATTCTTGTCACTCTATCCCCTGAGGAGGTCACCCAAACTGCCAATAGGGAATAGGGATGCTGACCACTCTGGCTTCTCCCATGCTGAACAGGAAAACAGGGTGAGGCAATTGGAGTACCCTTTCAGTGGGTCTATCTAAAAGACTCCCAAATTGTGTAACTTTTGTCTCAAAGGGGAGAAGAAAGTCCTTGAATCATGAATGGGAGATGTGAAGGAGAAGCAAAGGCAAGAGTAATTAGCATTACAAGTTCTAGACAGGGAACTAGAAAAAAAGTCAGAACAGGGCAAGTTTCAAATGTTCATGAGAGTCCACTGAGTTTCTTGACAGGGCTTCCAAAAGCATCCCTCTATTGGGTTCTTCCTCATTTTTCCTTTGTCTTCCAAGGCTGGACTAGTTGGCTGGGAAGAGTGGCTGGATACTCAGGTGAGGGTCCAGTGACCTTGCTTGGCACTCCTTTAATGAATGAGCACAACCATCAACAGGCCCAATTGTGATTATGTTTAGAGAGCAGGCTAAGCTGAAGTCATGAAGATAGTGGTTATTTCATGCAGAAGGAACTGGTATATATCATGATCTTAAAAGGACCTGGAATTTAAAAGGATTTGGTGCTAGGAGCCACATATGAGAGAGAATATACGTCGTTTATTTTTCTGAGTCTGTGTTACTTCACTTAGTATAACAGTTTCTAGATCCATCCATTTACCTCCAAATTTCATTATTTCACCTTTCTTTACTGCTGAACAGAACTCCATTGTGTAAATACACATTTTTGTTAGCCACTTGTCAGTTGAGGGACACTTAGATTGCTTCCATCTCTTAGCTATTGTGAAAAGCAACAAACATGATTGTACAAGTGTCTCTACAATAGGATGAGTCCTTTGGGTATATGCCAAGGAGTGGTATAAGCAGGTCATATGGTAGGTTCATTTTTAGTTTTTTAAGAGTTCTTAAAACTGTTTTCCATAGAGGCTGCACGAGTTTGCAATTTCACCAGCAGTGAATGAGAGTTCCCCTTTCTCCACATCCTCACCAGCATTTGGTATTGTTTGTTCTCTTTATCATAGCCAGTCTGATTTGGGTGATACCATAGGGAGGTTTTAATTTGCATTTCTCTAATTACTAATGATGTTGAACACTTTTTGTGATGTTTCTTAGCCATCTTTATTTCTTCCTTTGAGAACTCTGTTTAGATCATTAGCCCATCTTTTAATTGGGTCACTTGGTTTCTTGCTTCTTTGTTTGAGTTCTTTATATATTCTGGATGTTAAACTTCTGTCAGATTGTCACTGGTGAATACTTCTTTTTCCCATTCTGTGGGTTTTCTCTTCACTCTTTTGATTGTTTCTTTTGCTGTACAGAAGCTTTTTAGTTTAATGAGGTCCCACTTCTTGATTGCTGACCTTAATTCCTGAGCAACTTCTGTCTGATTTAGAAAACCCTTTCCTATACCTATATCTTGTAAGTTACTCCTAATATTTTCTTCTAATAGTTTCGGGGTTTCCAGTTTCACATTGAGGTCTTTAATCCATTTGGAATTAACTTTTGTGCAAGGTGAAAGATAAGGATCTAGTTTCATTCTTCTACAGGTGGAGATCTGGTTTTGTTAGCACCATTTGTTGAAGATTCTCTCTTTCCTCCATTGTGTATTCTTGGCACCTTTGTCAAATATCAGTTGGCTGAAATTGCATGTTTGGATCTTCACTGATGTTCCATTGATCTATGTGTCTGTTTTTGCACCAGTACCATGCTGTTTTTATGACTGTGGCTCTGTAGTATACTTTGAGATCTGGTATAGTAATCCCCCCAGCATCGCTCTTTGTGGTCATGGTTGCTTTGGCTATCCGGGGTCTTTTGTTCCTCCATATGAATTTAAGGATGCATTTTTCTAATTCTGTGAAGTATGTCATAGGGATTTTGATTGGGATTGCACTGAATCTATGTTTTGATTTTGGTAGGAGGGTCATTTTAACAATATTAATTCTTCCAATCCATGAACATGGGAGGTCCTTCCATCTCCTGGTGTTTTCCTCAATCTCTTTAATGATTTAAAATTTTCATTGTAGAAATCTTTGGTGTCTTTGGTCAGATTTATTCCAACATATTTTAATTTTTTTGCAGCAATTGTGAATGGGAACATTTCCCTGTATTTTCTCCAATTGCTTGTTATTGGTATATAGGAAGGCTACTAATTTTTGTAGATTGATTTTATAAACTGCCACTGTACTGAAAGTGTTGATCAGTCTAATGGAGACAGTGGGGTATTGAAGTCCCCTATTATTACTGAGTTGGGGTTAATCTGCATCTTAAAGTCCTGTAGTGGTTTTTTTTTTATGAATTTGGGTGCACCATAGTTTGGTGCATGTATGTTAAGGATTATAAAGTCTTCTTGGTAAATTGTTCCCTTGATCAAAATGAAGTGACCCTCCTTATCTCTTCTGATTAGTTTTACTTTGAAGTCTATTTTGTCAGATATTAGAATTGCAACCCCTGCTTGTCCTTGAAGATGTTTCTTGCAGACAGCAAAGAGATGGATTTTATTTCTTAATTCATTTGCTTAGTCTGTGCCTTTTGACAGGGGAGTTCAGTTCATTGATATTTAAGGTTATTATTGAAAGGTGTGTATTGGTTGCTGTCATTTTGATTGCTGTTTGTGTTCCCTGTGTAATTTTGCGTTTCCTAGATCATATCTTTATTTTCTTTTGTTGCCCCAAGGTATAGCTGTTTCTCTCTCTGCTCTCTGTATTGCTTCAAGTATTCTTTGAAGGGCTGGTTTTGTGGACATGTATTCTTTCAGGCTATTCATGTCATGGAAGATTTTTCTTTCCCGCTCAACTATAATAGACATTTTTGCTGGGTATACTATTCTGGGCTGGCATCTATTGTCATGTAGAACTGGAAATACCTTGGTCCAGGCTCTTCTGGCGTTCACAGTTTGTATTGATAAGTCAGCTGTAATTCTGATGGGCTTTCCTTTGTACATGACTTGTTGTTTTTCTTTTGCTGCTTTTAGTATTCTTTGTTCTGTAAATTTAGTGTCTTTACTGTGATATGTCGTGGAGAGTTTCTTTTCTGATCCTATTTGGTGTTCCTTGTGCTTCCTGTATTTGTATGGGGATGTCTTTCTTTAATTTTGGGAAATTCTCTTCTATAATCCTGTTTAAGATCTGGTCAACAGCATTAACCTGAAATTCTTCTTCCTCTATTCCTATGATCTGTAGATTTGGTCTTTTCATGGTATCCCATGTCTCTTGCATATTCCATTTCTGTGTTTTTTTATATTTTCCATACTTTTTGCTAGAGTGGTCTAATTCTTCAACGTTATCCTCCAGTGTTGATATCCTGTTTTCCGTTTCATTCATTCTAGAGGTGAGGCTTTCCCCTGTTGTTGCAAGTTGACTTACTGAGTTTTCCACTTTCTTCTTCATTTCTGCCTGAGTTTTCTTCAATCTTTCTATCTCTTTTGTGAATTCATTCAGAAGTTTATCCCTATCTTCTTTTAGCTCTTTGTTCGTGTGTTCTTTAAATTTGTTGAATCCCTTGGTCATGTTTATGATTGTTCTTTTAAATTCAGCGTCCTGGGTTGTCTCTAGGGGGTTCTCCTTGTAGAACTCTTCTACAGGATTGGTGGGCTTTGCTGGGGATATAGTGCTTTGGCTTTCCATTTTATCATTCTTTCACTTTCGTTGTGGTTTTGGCATGTGAATATCTTTTGTTGTTTATGATTCCGATATGAGAAGTAAGTTGAAGTATGCTTCTGTTTGTATTATTGTGGTGCCTTGATCATTTATTGGTTATGTAAAGCTGTTGGTACACGGTTCAGGTTCTTTCAAGTTTATTTTGGAGGGAACTGATGGCTTCAGATGAGGTATTCGCTGGTACCCACAGAAGCCCAATTCAGGTTCGAGGCAGGTACACTCAGGCTTCCTTCACGACATGGAGTCAGGATCTAGGTTCTCTCATGCAGTCCAGTGTGTTGTCAACCCTATGCCAGAGGGAGGCCAGAGGGGTGCCAGAACTCGGTACTCCCTGGTGGTCTGCTGAGCTCCCAGTCTTAGCCTACCAAAGCCAGATCTGCCCTGGGGTCTTGGGATGGGCCTCACAAAATCCCAGGTAGGGGGATGGTATGGCGCAATTAGGGGAAGCTCGCCACCATGGCGAGGCAAGATCCTGGGGCTGTCAGGCTGTCCCCTGGGTTCTCTGGCCCTCTGGTAGTTGGAGGCCAGAGGGAGGCCCGAACCAAGCACTCCCTGGCAGTCTGCTGAGCTCCGAGCAGCTACCCCAATGGAGGAGGTCCGAGCCCCTTCTGTTTTCTAACTAGCTCACACATCTCCTTTCAGTCACTAGTGTGTCCTCCACAAGTCTGGTCCCTAAGTGCACATATTGCTCCACAGTCTTCACTTTCACACTTGTTGATGCTGGTTTGGTGGTCAATGTCTGTTTTACTCTTCTGCCTGCCTTCATATACTGAAAGGCTGGAAACTTAAAATTTTCCACTTCTCTTTTAGGGTTCCAGAAATTTTCTAGGTTTGAACAGTCAGGTATACTTTGCATGAGATTTGGAAAAGGACTAACTTCTCTTCTTTTCTGATAAGCAGCTATGAGACTTTGGAGGGGCTGTCTGGTTTTTCTTCCCCCTCTTCAGTGGCACTACAAAAAGAGACCCTAGTATCCTGTTATGATTTCCAAAGGAATCTGAAATACAGGCTATAGGGTGACCTCTTCTGCCTGTATGGATTATAGAAGACATGGTATGAATAGTGGCTTCTAGACAGTGGCAATAGTAGTACAGCCCTAGAGCAGGAGAAGCAATGACAGGAGGCAGGAGTTCCCTTTAGAAACAAATTCTGTGGTATATTTTCAAGAATCCTTTATGTTAGTTCAATTCAAAATTTCTTCCACCCTCCAGAAAACTTTGTAAATTATACAATGTCTTATAATAAATCTTTCCTTGATTTAAGTACAGTGGCTTACTGGGTATGTGACACCTGCCTGTAATCCTAGCACCTAGGAGGCTGAGTCAAGAGGACTGCTATAAGTTCGAGCCTAGTATGGGCTACATAGTAGTTCTATGTAACATAGTAGTTGGGCAAGAGTCTGAGACTTTGTCTCAAAACAGCAAATAAAGATAAATAAATAAATAAACCTAATTTAAATCACAGCATCTTAGTTCTTTGCCAGCATCCCCATTTCTATGCCTTCCAGATCTATATAATCCCAACAATAAGAACTACCTTCTTCAGCACTATTCAGTGTATCTATTTTTCTTAGCACATTGTTATCTCACAACTCCAACTGAATATCTGTACTAAGGCTTTGGGAATTAGAATGCAATATTTACTATTCATTTGATTTTGGGAAAGTTATTTCTTGTGTCTGAATTTCTTCATCATAAATTAGAGTTAACAGTACTCACAAACAGGGCTGCTGAGACTTTAATGGGCAGAATGTAGATGATATTGGTAAATTGTCATGTGCTGTTTGAGCTCACAGAGAAGTTGTCTCTGGAAACGGGATACCCCCCCCCCCCAACTCAACACCCTTCAGACCCAAGTATGTCTATGTCAAATGTTCCTCAAGACCCCTGGTCTGGGTATGGGTTGGCCTTACTAACTCTGTGACAGAAGGGAAGAGAACAGCAACACTGCCCAAGAATGAAAACACTGTGCCCCTGAGAATAGCTAAAGGTGAACCATTTCCAACAGAAGTTATGGTGTTTTTCCCATGACATGAAGGTGCCTGCAGTGGAAAGAGAAGCTGGAAGTTCAGCCATGGAGAGAAAGTTCAACTGGGAACTCTGGCTGCCACCTCAACTTCCCCAGTTGGTTTCTGCAGGATATTGATGTTACTCCATCACCTGCTGTTTGTAGATTTATATGGAAGCCTACCCGAGGGGATCCTCTGCTTTGTCCCCAACTCTTGAGTGGGAACTTTAGCTGGCTGCCTTAAAGGCCAGTTGGTTTCTGCTGGATGTGTAATGCTGTTATCTTTCTCCTGCTATTTCTTCTTTCACTTGCCTCACCAGTGGGGACAGTCTGCTCTGCCCAAATGTCTCTATTACTTTAGCTGGCTGCCTTAAAGGGGCTCCTCCAGTTGACTTCTGTAGATATTTTGAGCAACCAATTTGATGGTGTTTTCCTATACTTTTTCCTCTGTCTCTTCTAACCCCCCTCTTTTGTCTTGCTATTTATTCTTTTATTTTGGCTTGCTATATATTTAATAGACTCAATTACTCAAAACTGAAATTATGGCTACTTAGATCATTCTCCAGATTCGAGAATGTACAGACCAATGAGGTAACATATGCAAACACTTACCATGCTAAATTTCAATAAATATTCTTTCTTCCTGATCAAAGTATTTCTTCTTAACAACTATTGTCAAAAATCATGTCCTACCCATCCATTTACTCTTATACTTTTGACTTAATGTAGCTTTTGTTATAAAATATATTTCTTATACTTTTTTTGGTCAAGTCCTATTACTACCTCCCTTAGAATATTGCTCAAGAACTTTTAATAATGAAAACTGATCCTGTTTCAATAATAATCAGCCACTAAATTTTTCCAAGTCTTAAATATATTGAAGTAGAGATTAAATGATTTTCTATTCTGCACACATTTCAGATTTCTACACTGGAGTACACATTAGATTAAATAATCTCCAATTCTAACATTGTATAATTCTAATTTGAGCTCTAAAATGGATTACTACAAAAAATGTCTCAAATAAATGGAAATTAGTGGTATATCATACACTGAAGCATTATAGTTATGAAGTACCATAGTAGTCTATTGGAATAGTCTTATTTTAGTTTCCAGTATTGAAAGATTACAGTTAAATGCTGAGATTGAAAAAAAAAAAAAAACGGGGAGGGGGATGCGGGGACTGGAGAAACAGCTCAGCAGTTAAGACACTGGCAGAGGACCTGGGTTGGGTTCCCAGAACCCTCATGGTGGCTAACTCCATGGTCTCTAACTCCATTTCTAGAAGATCTGATGCCTCCTCTGGCTTCTGTATTGCATGCATGGGTACACTTAATACATGCAGAAAAAACACATATTAAAAAAATAAAGTAAAAACAAATTAAAAAATTAAATTTTTGTTTGTTTGTTTGAGACAGGGTCTCCCTGTAGCCCCAGCTGACGTGGAACTTGCTATACAGATCAGGCTGGCCTTGATTTCACAGAGTCCACCTGCCTCTGACTCCCAAATGCTGGGCCAAAATGTATATGCCACCACACCAGGTTCCAAATTTATTTTCTAAAGCAAAAAATAGCATGTGGACCACAAAAATCTGGACGATTACTGCCATCCTCACAGAACCTCTTCATGATTAATTTTTATTTTTGCCTTTTTCGATTTTCTATATGCATAAATTTTTAGTTAAAATCACAATACATATACAAGTTAAAATTGATTTCTGAGTTAATCTTTTCCATCTGAAATGAATTTTGTTTTTTAATCTGTAAATAATTTTCTAATTTTATTACTTAGCATTAAGCTCTTATCGATTTACATTGGGGTGGAGATTTTTTTCTTGCCTTTTCATTTAAATAATGAACCATTACACTGCATTATCATATACTTCCCCAAAGCCATGTTTAATATTCCCTGTCAAAGTAAACACTTACCGATGATGGTGGAGCGCAAATGTCCAACATGAAATTTTTTGGCAACATTAGGAGAACTGCAAAAATTGCAAGAATATTTTCTTATTCTAATAACAAAAGCTTTGAGAATAAACTAGATCATGCCTCCATAGGTTGACATAATTAAGGAATAGGGGCTTTGGCAATTTGGGGCAAGGATAAGTTAGAAATTAGAAATTTATAGTAAAGATAAATTAGCACTCAGAAATAATCATCTTATTATTGATCAACAATCATTGATCTTGTGATTCATGAAGCAATACAATACACATTTATGAAGCAAAGTATTTTGAAGGACTAAAAAGATGAAGAGTGCTGGAGAGACGGCTCCAAAGGTAAAGGTGCTTGTTGCCAAGCCTGACAACCTGAGTTCAATCCCTAGATCCCCACAAGGTGGAAAGTGAGATCCCACTTTAGCAAGTTGTCCTGTGACATTCACATGTGTGGGCACACATGAGCACACATGAACACACACAAAATAAGTAAATGAAATTTTTTAAAGGATGAAGAAATTCAGAGCTACTGTTTAGTTAAAAAATAACATAGATTTTTGGGAATTAAGTTTAGTGCACATTTCATAAGATACATTCTTAAAAAAAGACTTATTTTTATTTTTTCGTATGTGTGTGTGTTCCTGCATGTATGTGCGTATACCCATGCATGCCTGTGTCTGTGATGGTTAGAAAAGGGTGTTAGAACTCCTGTAATTGGAGTTACAGGTGGTGTGGACCAACTGATATAGGTGCTAAGAAATGAACCCGGGTCCTCTGAAAAAGTAGCAAGTGCTCTTAACTGTCAAACTAGTGTTTTAAGTATTTAAGAACTCCTAGAAATTCAGTTCATGAGTAATATATGCCAATACAATATATGCCAATACAATATATGCCAATACAATACTTATTGTAACTGAAATTAAATTGGAAATTGTAAACATATTTAGGTAAGCCAGGTATGGTGGCATACACCTATGATATCAGTATTTAAGAGTCTGAGGAATAAGGATTGTTGTTAGTTTGAGGCCATTCAGAGTTACATAGTGAAACTCATACAAATAAACAAATGGCAATAATAAAAATACTTATGTTTAAAGTCTCCTAGAATAATTGGAAATGATTCACCACTCCGAAGTCTCAATCAACAGACTATACATGTTTGATAGGTTTTAATCAATTGTTTAGCCAAATTAGATGTTTCTGGAGCACTTAGTCCCTGCCATGTAGTTTTATAAATTTTATTTGCATTAATTCATTTAATACTCCTAATTCTCCTGTTTTAATGTATGTCAGAAAATTTTATATTTTCAATGTAAAACAAGATAAAGTAAATTGAACATATCCAGTTAAAAAGTGGTAATTCAGAGGGGTAGGAGAGATGGCTCAGTGTGTAGAAATGTTAACCACAGAAGTCTGGACCTGAATTTGATCCTGGAACCCACATTAAAAAAAAAAAAAAGGCAAAAAGCTGGATACAGTGATGCACAGCTGTAATTCCAGATGAGAGGTAGAGATAAGGAATCACCCAGAAACTTGTGAGCTAGCTAGCCTAGAATATGTAGCACAGCAGTTTAAACACAGACCCCATCTCAATGGAGGTGGAAGGTAAGAAATGACTCACAAAATTGTCTTTTGGTTGCCATACACTATGGCATGTATATGCAGGCGTGCGCGCACACACACACGTGTGTGTGTGTGTGTGAAATAGAGAGCTTAATTTCTTGTTCTATATCCTTTTAAAGAGTATTACAATTTAAAAGCCTGATCCTATGTACAGGTGTACATGACTATGGAATTAACAAACTACACATTCGTTCATTCAAGCATTATTTACAAAGAAAGCAAATATCCTTCTATAAAACAAAACAAATAAAAAAAAAACAAACAAACAAAGAAAGACATCTCTTTCTAACCAAAAGAGTAACAAGGACCAGACTTATTCTTTTGCCTTTGAACAATCAGAAAACAAGAAAACATATATGAAACACTGGTTTTAGGAAACGGGACAAAAGACAGTGATCGACTAATATCTAGGAGAGTAAGAGTGAACTCAGTGAGCACTTGTACTGTACCTTGTGCATATAGCAAAAGCAAAAATGCAATGGCATGAAATGTTTATATTAGAAAAAAGAAAGTATATTAGGAAAAGTAAATCTAAGCTTCTTTTAGAGTGTAATAATCTGAATCCAAAGCAGAAAAAAGGAAATATAAATAAAAGACAAAAAAAGGGAGAAAGAAATTTTAAAAAAGGAGAGTGCAATAGTTTCGTATCATAATTGTGATACACCATTGCTAAAACTCATCAAATTATATGGTTTAATACAATGAATAATACTATACTGTATTTATACATGTCCTTAAAAAAAAAATCAACTTTCATAGAACTTTGTAGCTTTTTCCAATACTAGAAAAAACATGAATCTATCTAGGATTTTTAAACTCCAACAAAATGTTCCTTGAAATCATCAATCTGTCATATTTAGGCACCATGTTCCTACTGAGACAGGATTACAAAGAAATGGAAAAGACAAATTCAATTCCTTTAGCAACTAAAATAGCCATGATGGAATTAACAATTTGGACATCTTGTTTTTATTAAACCATTTCATGTAATTTCCCAAACCTTGTGAGAAAGGACAGATATGGCTTATTTTCCAGATAAGAGACTGCTGTGGTTTGAAACACTCCCCCGAGACTCATGCATTTAAACACTTGGTCCCCAGCTGGTGGCACTGTTTGTGAAGGTGGAGCCTTGCTGGAGGAAGTAAGTCACTTCCTTGACTGGCCTTGAGGTTTTAAAACTTGCTTACTTCCTCCTGCTCCTGCCACCATGTTGTCCCTGCCTGCTGCCATGTCTTCTGTCATGATGGGCTCTATCTGTCTGGAACTGTGAGCCACAATAAACCCTTTTTCCCTTAGAAAGCTTTTGTCAGGGTATTTTATCACAGCAATGAGAAAGTAACTAAGACAGACACCAAAAAAATTAGCTGTCCATTCAGATCACCAAATAAATTACTATCAATCAGAATGATTCTTCTAACCTTTCATAATCCCATTTTACAAGTGAGGTGTCCACCACTCTGTTTTGTATGAAAAGTACCTCACATCTGGGAATATCTAAGGGAAGATACAGAAAGCCTGTCCTTGCCAACTACAGATTTGATTTACATGCAACAGGACAGTCTGGCTCAGCAGAGAAGAAACACAACAGAAGTCAACCTGAAATATTACAGCAAGTCCATGATGCTCTTAGATCTGACAACCTACATGACAGCTTTGAATATATAGCTTCAGAATCAGAACTCTATGAACCTGAGCAATTTACTCAGCCAGCACCTTAATTTAGACAGGCGGTTTCTTGCTGATAGTAAATATACCTTTTGCTTTATTGGGAACAAAATTCTTGGTCCTTTTGATGTGTACTTTATTTATATAAATATTAGGAAATGTAGAGAGTTCTAACTCTCTCCTGGGTGAGCACTTTCTCTCAGGTTTTGGCACTGAAATGTTAGGAAATCAGGAGTCTTAACTTTCTCCTGGGTAAATGTTAGGCTTAGAAGGAATTCTAATCTTTTAATCTCACCACACCCTGTAAGACTTTTGTTTAAGGAAAGGCTATGGTGCCTTCCTGGACCTGCCTGCAGAAATGAAGCTCTTCTCCCCTGGAGTGGATTCTTTTAAACTGCATTTGACTGACCATGAAAAGTACCCTTACAGTAAAAGTAAAATCTACCTTGCCAAGTTACTTTTGCTTTGTCCACGTGTTCTTTGTGAGGTATTGATAGGGTTCTTAGATAATGAGTTTTATTTATTACATTCTTCAGTTACTTAGCCTTAAAAAGAGAAAGAGATATTACCTTAAATCTACACTACAAACTTCACCATTTCTTTTTGGCCCCAAGTCATTTTTCTTTTTTAACATATTAAAGAACTAGAGACATAAGCTTTCTGCCTTCTCTCACTCATTGGTGGACCTAGGTTTCACACAATTGCATTATGTGTATAATAGTTGTATTCATGTTTTATTTGTGTTGACAATTTTTTTAAAAAACTATGGCCACTTTGGGGTTTTTTCGCCTTCCTCTTTATTTTTATTATTTAGCATGCAAAATCAAAATATCCTTTTGCTTTATTGGGAACAAAATTCTTGGTCCTTTTGATGTGTACTTTATTTATATAAATATTAGGAAATGTAGAGAGTTCTAACTCTCTCCTGGGTGAGCACTTTCTCTCAGGTTTTGGCACTGAAATGTTAGGAAATCAGGAGTCTTAACTTTCTCCTGGGTAAATGTTAGGCTTAGAAGGAATTCTAATCTTTTAATCTCACCACACCCTGTAAGACTTTTGTTTAAGGAAAGGCTATGGTGCCTTCCTGGACCTGCCTGCAGAAATGAAGCTCTTCTCCCCTGGAGTGGATTCTTTTAAACTGCATTTGACTGACCATGAAAAGTACCCTTACAGTAAAAGTAAAATCTACCTTGCCAAGTTACTTTTGCTTTGTCCACGTGTTCTTTGTGAGGTATTGATAGGGTTCCTGGATCTCAGATTTTATTTATGACATCCTTCAGTTATTCAGCTCTTGAAAGGGGAAAGAGATATTACCTTAAGTCTACATGGCAAACTTCACTCTTTCTTTTTTAAAAAATATTTTATTTATTATTTTAATTTTATGTGTATGAGTGCACTGCTTGCATGTATGAGAGTGCACTGTGTATGCAATGCTGAGGAGGTCAGAAGAGGGCATCAGATTGCCCTGGAACTGGAGTTGAGGATGGTTCATAGCCACCATGTGGATGCTGGGAATTGAACCTGGGTCCTCTGCAAGGGCAGTCAGTGCTCTTAACCACTGAGCCATCTCTCCAGCCTCACATCACCCTTTCTTTTGGGCAGCTAAACCTTTTTCACATCTTAAAGAGCTAGAGATATAAGCTTTCTGCCTTCTTCTACTCTTTGGTACACCTAGACTTCAGATAATTGTTATGTGTGCCTATGATAATTGTTTTCATGTATTGTGTCAAGACAATTTTTTAAAGCACTGCGGTCACTTCAGTTTTTTCCTTTCTCATTTTTTTTATTGTGCACACGAATTATTAGTATTTTCATTTTTAGCATGTCAGGTTAAAATGCACATGTGCAAGCTTATAAATGTATTTTGCTAATGGATTAAAAAGCTGGATAAAGAGGCAGGCGGATCTCTGTGAGTTCAAGGCCAGCCTGGTCTACATAGTAAGTTACAGGACAGCTGGGGCTACAGGGAGACCCTGCCTCAATAAAAAGACAGGAAAAAAAAAAAAAGCCTGATAAATACATACTGCCTTATAAACTTGATTATTCGCAACATCTAAAAACCTGTTAAACAATTACCTTTGGGTATATTAAACGTTTCACAATAGTATTCATTAAAATCATAAGATAAATATCTCAGAAAGCTATAAAATTTAATGTTATGTATATATAGATTTTGACTAGGATTCCCTTCCAAAACATACACATATATATTTTTTATTTCAATTGTGTAATAGAGGTAATCATTTCTCTTTCAAAAATATTCTTAATATGATACTATGAAATTTAAGGTTTTATTAAAGCTAGACTACATGTAAAACAATGGATTATATATGTTTTCTAAAGATCTTTGTGCTAGGTTTCCTTTCCTTTTTTTTGGGGGGGGGTGTATTTTATTTTACAACTCCCAGGTCACAGTTCATCACTGAGAGAGACCAAGGTAGAAACTCAGGGCTGGAACCTGGAGGCAGGAGCTGAAGCACAGACTATGGAGGAACACTGAAGGCACAATTGGCTAAGTTTTAGAGAGTAAGAGACTGCAGAACGCATGTCTTTGGACAGGATTCCTATATTAAATCTCTCTCACCCATAGCTCAGAGACCACTGTGAAGAGGGGGCGGAAAGATTGTAAGAGCCAGGGCTGGTGGATGAACACAAGGAAATAGAGACTTTCAGGCCACTAGAAACTTATTCCTATGACCTTGCAGTAATGCTGACAGCATGCACAAGACCCATGCCGACTTAATCAGACAAAAATCCAGCAAATGGGCAGCAGGTCCCATCCTTAGTCAAGGAACTATTGGCAAATGATTACTGTGGGGTGAGGGAAAGTAGACATTCTTTAAGGCATGAGTCTAGATAGGCTGACTAGATTCCAGTGGATGAACTTGCACTGAGGGACACCTGGATAGAAATGCTTGACCTGACAGGACTTTAACATATAAGATAGAACACCTGAAATCTGGTGGGGGAGGGCTATCAGGGGCAGGGAAGGCAGAGGGGTTCTAAATTTGATTAAGAAGTATTTGCATTTGATTAAGATGTATTATATGAAAGGAAGAAAAAAATTAATATTAACAATGGGAAAAAAAGCAAGCTAGATGGCACTTGAGGAACAACACTTGAGGACTGACCTCTGGTCTTCACGTGTACATGAATCACACATATGCACCTCCACACAGGAGAACACACACACACACACACACACACACACACACACACACACACACACACACACACGATTAAGTTAACTCAAGTGAAAAATTCTCTTTTCTTTTTTGAGACCTGGTCTTCTTGTAGCCCCAGCTACCTGGAACTTTCTATATAGACCAAGTTGGCCTCGGTCTCACAGAGATCCATCTGCCTCTGCCACTGGAGTGCTGAGATTAAAGTTGTATACCACAAACCATAGCTGAAAAACTACTTTTTCAAACAAAAAACTAAGATAGCAGGATGGTTCAGTGGGTAAAGGAACTTGCCAAGAAAACTGGAATTCAATCCCCACAACATAAGGAGATAGCCAATTCTACACAGTGGTTGTCTGACCTCCACATTTGCACCACAGCAAGCACTCCTACATGTACAAGTTGTGCGCGCGCACACACACACACACATAATAATAAATTAATTTTAAAAAAGAATTGTTGAATATTTAATTTAAAAAGAAAAAACATAATGAGTGTTGGGGATGTAGCTCAGCTGATGGAGTGCTTTCCTAACATACATAAAGCCCTGAGTTAGAACTCCCAGCACTGCATAAAACATGGTGTGGTGGCACATGCTTGTAATTCTAGCACTCAGCAGATGGAAGCAAGAGGATCCAGAAGTTTAACGTCATCCTTAGCTATATATCAAGTTCAAGGCCAGTCTGGGAAACATGAGATCCTATATAAAAAACTACACAGAAAAGCCAAAACCATAATGACTAGACATTTTTTTGGACTGGCGATACAAAATACCTAATTTTATTCATGGTTTAATTACTGACTCACTGGTTTTCAACTTTCCACATATAATTTAATGAAAACTTAATCAACAAAGTTGTAACATATCCTACCCAATAAGCAGGACTAATAGGCACCTAAGACTAGTCGACACTCACCTGAATTCAACCACAAACCTCCTCTGGGGAAGGCCAGAGAAAAGCTCACTTTTTAACCCATATTCTGAGCCATCTTCAATTACTTGCTGCAGCACTGTCTAAAAAATAGAAGGAGTGGGATTTAGTGACAGCAAAAAATTAAATGAAATTGTAATGTGATACTGGAAATTAAATGTTGCTAATCTGTTCATTCTAATTATGGAACTGAGAATTTTACTGCATCGTTAGCAGCACCAGCTCTAGCACCAACGTCACTTGTGCTAATGCCTGTTAGAGCAGTTATAACATGAGATAATATTGATGAGGCTGACCTGGACCTGTAAATCTAGTCCATTCATGCTATAGTAACCAATGATGTCACAGCTCTGGAAAATGAACTTTTGGGATGTTAGATAATTGCCAAAAGTTCCATAGAAATAGCAAAGCCAGAAGCAGCATCTAATCAGTTATTGAGTGAATACTATGTTCTAAGGACTATGCTGAGCATTCATTTTATATTTACCAACTCACTTAATCCTACCAACAGCTTCAGAGATGAGTATTAATGTTACAAACAAGGAAAGAAAAGTAAGTAACCTTCCCTAGGTCATAATACTATGAAGTTAAATAGCAAAAATTCTCCCAAGCCAGTGAATGTGTTAGTTACTATACATGCTATTCCTGCTTCTTTGATAACTAAAAATCACAAGCTAGTAATTCAGAACATATAATTAAATGCCTATTGGCTACAAAAATGGAAGGCACAGAAATCTTACAGAAACTTCTGTAACGTATTCAAGGTTAATTTTTTAAAAATTTTTACAAAAACTTCATTGAGAATTTCATACATGCATATACGGTGTTTTCATCAAATCCATCCAAATCCCTCCCTTCCAATATTCACCCCTCTGAAGAGGTAACCCTAAAATCTTTTAAGGATTAGATACAAGCTCCAAAATACTTTTGACATTTTTTGCCTTTGGAACAGAGTATGTTGCTAAGAGTCCCAAGGACATTTTGAATTTTAGCCAAGAAACTGGCTACTTTTCTTTGGGGTTTTTTAAACCCTAACTGCCTAGCCAATTCCTACCTCTTATTTTTATCACACCATCCTCTGAAGGGGTTACCCAAATTGCCACTAGGGAATAGGGATGCCAACCGCTCTGCTTCTTCCATGCTGAATAGGGACGAAGGGTGAGGTCTATCTAAAAGACTCCCAAATTACATAACTTTTGTCTCGAAGGGGAGAAGAAAGTCCTTGTATCATGAATGGGAGATGTGAAGGAGAAGCAAAGGCAAGAGTAATTAACATTACAAGTTCTGGAACTAGAAAAAAGTACAGGTAATTTTTAAATGCTCATATGAGCATATGAGTCTCCACTGAAATTTCTTCCAAAAGCATCCCTCTATTGGGGTCTTCCTCATTTTTCTTTTGTCTTCCAAGGCTGGACTAGTTGGCTGGGAAGAGTGGCTGGATACTCAGGTGAGGGTCCAGTGACCTTGCTTGGCACTCCTTTAATGAATGTGCACAACCATCAACAAGCCCAATTGTGACTATGTTTAGCGATCAGGCTCAGCCGAAGTCATGATGATGGTAGTTATTTCATGCAGAAGGGACTGCTGTATAGCATCATCTTATTAAAAGGACCACCACATGGAGGCAGGATCTGGGGGCTGTCAGGCTGTCCCTGGGTTCTCAGGCCCTCTGGTAGTTGGAGGCCAGAACCCGGCACTCTCTGGCGGTCTGCTCCAGGGTTAACTTTTTATTTTGTAACACAGAATTATAGTAATGATGAACAAAATTCATATGTTACTTTTGTGCTGGTAATGATGTACTTTTCAAATTTTCCTTTTTTGAAATTGTTGTTATAAAAGAATTATTTTTAACCTTACTTTGAAAATGTAGTATACAGTAAGAATTTTATTATCAAAGAATTGGTTAAGATAGCCACTAAATGAGTTGGGCAAGTAGTGCACAACTGTACCCTCGGCACTCAAAAGGACGGCTAAGGCAGGTAGAACCTGGGTACGAAATCTGCGGGTCTATATAGTAAGATCCTGACTAACCAAGTCCTGCACATGCTATCTCCTAAATATCACTGCAGGTATTTCCTTGACACTTATTTAGAACCTCATCAGTTGTCAGCCATGCCATTGCAAACACCACCACTACGTTACTACTTCTTTTCTTACATAACACATTTCTTTTTCTTTTTTTCACTCCTTTTTGGTGCTGAAAATGAAAGGCAGGACCTTCCACATGCTAAGCAAATGTTTTACTATCACAGACTCTAAACACATATTTCATCAACTGTGTTCGATTTAAATTCTTCAGTGATTCCTACTGTTTAAAAGATTTGACCAGGGGCTGGAGAGATGGCTCAGTGGTTAAGAGCACTGGCTGCTCTTACAGAGAACCCGGGTTCAATTCCTAGTACCCACATGGTGGCTAACAATTGTCCATAACTCCACTTCTGGGGAAGTCTGATGCCTTCTTCTGACCTCTGAGGGTACTTACACACTGACACCACACAAGTGCACTTATACATATACATGCAATACACTCATACACATAAAATAAAAATAATAAAAGATTTTTTAAAAGAAGTTAACTGAATGTGAGGCTGGGAGCAAGCCAGTAAGTGTTCATGGTTCTTACCTTTAAAAGCCACTAGGGAGGTAAAAGCAGGCAGACCTCTGTGAGTTCCAGGCAACCCATGGCTACACAGTAAGAGTTTGTCTCAAAAAATAAAAAAAGAGCAATGTAACAGTTATAAAAATTGTTCTTAACTGCTGAACCATCTCTCTAGCCCCTAAAATGAAAGTTTTTAGTTACAGGATGTCAGTGAGCTAACAAAGTTCCTTCATATTCCAGTAGATAAATATGATAAAAGCTTATATATTTGTCAATATGTACGTTTAAATGTAAGCTATACTCACTGATATAAATATTGGTGCATAAAAGGTTTTAATCAGAAATGAAGTCTTTCAAAAGTTTTAAGTTTTGGAATTAAGTAAATTAATGAATACTCCAAATGGCTGGAGCTTTCTGCTTATCTATCACTGTCATCTTTTTCTGAACCCTTTGTCCTCCCTTCCTCCCCTCCTCTTTCTTTTCTATTTGTTGATTATTTCCTTATGGCTGTCAGTAGGACTCCTAAGGAATTTATCACTACTTACTTGCCAGTCAAGTCTATGGTCTTAAAATCATTCATTCTTTCTATGTACATGTACATTCTTTCTTTACATGTGGCTTGAATGTATTCACCGTCTATAGGCAAAACTTCTTTATTTAAGTAAAGACTAGAACCACCTTTCTTTCCTCCCCCCCTCCCCCCACCCCCTCTTCCTTTTTCCTTTGGTTGAGCAGGGAAAGTTAAATTTGGCAAATAAAAACATGGATGCTGGGGACTGGAGAGATGGCTTAATGGTTAAGAGCACTGACTGCTCTTACAGAGGATCCAGGTTTGGTTCCCAGCATCTACATAGTGACTAACAGCCATCTGTAATTCCAGTTCCAGGGATCTGACACCCTCTTCTGGCCTCCACAGCCAGTGCACACACATGGTGCACATATATACACACAGAGACGAAACACCCACACACATAAACTACAAATAAATTAATTTTTAAAAAGTGGGTTGGTGAGATGGCTCAGAAGGCAAAAGTGCTGCTGCCAAGCCTGACAACCTGAGTTCAATCCCTGGGCCCCACATGGTAGGAGAAAAATGACTCTTGCAAGTGGTCCTCTGAGCTCCACACTTGTGCCACAGCACATGTGCATCCCCACATACACAAAGACATAAAATAAATCAATGCGATGCCAATCAAAATCCCCATGACATTTTTCACAGAATTGGAAAAAAAACATCCTAAGATTCATATGGAAGCACAAAAGACCTCGGATAGCCAAAACAACCCTGAGCACTAAGAGCAATGTCGGGGGTATTACTATACCAGATTTTAAGCTGTATTACAGAGCTATAGTCATAAAAACAACACGGTACTGGCACAAAAATAGACTCATAGATCAATGGAACAAAATTGAAGACCCAAATATGAG